ATCCAAAAGCCAAACAAACCACCTAAAATTAGGCAGAATAAAATCATAATAAAATGGATGGGAAATGCTTATTCTTGTTGACTGAGAAAAAGACACATTTAGAAAGAGCAGAACTTCCCACAAATCTGAAATTCAATTTCCTGCACAGCTAGTAATAAGAATATAATGTTATATTTCTAATACCTATACCTCCATTTAAGCATTGGTGCACTTACACACCAAGTGTTAGCGCATGCATACACTTCCTATTCAATAAAGTTGCTATGCAACACTCTGCAACAGGCTCCTTCACTTCCATACAGTGTGCTCACCTGAAGTAATCTACTTCCAAATGATGAATCGGTTACTAAATTCTAAGTGGAAACTGGAAGACACCAGGCACAATGCAAGGACTCTTCTTTGCATAAGACCAATGTGACAAGAAAGAGTAAACTGAAGAAACATTTTCTGCTCCAATGTCAAAAAAACGTAATAACAGAAGCGAAAGAAATTCAAATTATCTGAAATGACTACAGACTCCCTGCTCAAAAGCAGGCAGAAATAAAACAAACCCAGCCTCCTCCCCGAATCCTGGGATGAAGGGATGAAAGAGCTATCAGAAACAGCAACGTTTCACCTAGCAACCTGCCATGCGATTGCAAAAGGATGATAACAACAAATGGATGCAGAATTTCACCCCAAGCCCAGGACACAGACATGCCCAGAGCAGAAAGCAACTACCTCTGACAGAGACCTGGAGGGTTTTTTTATTCCTCTTAACACTTGTTTGATGACTCGCAGGGCTTGTCACACCAGCTCACCACTACGGAATTGAATCACATGGTAATAGGACCAGAACAACCTATAATTTTTTGTTTCACGCATTTTTCAGACAAAAACCCAAAAGGCATCATTCCTGGGGCTGTAGTCAGGAATGCAAGAGATAAGCAGGAATCCTAATGAAGGTATGATACATATTACGAAACTAGGGCATCTCGTGTTTTCTCTAGTACATTTCAAAGATTACTTGCAAACGAAGGAATGATAGGATGGGTCAGAGCCACAAACTTCTTCATTCATAAGTCAAATTTGAAATGGTTGGTAGCATATCCTGCTGAGAATTGCAAGAAATGCGATCGATCACTGATAACCTGTAGCTAAAGATCAGCTCTAACCCTAAAGCAAGAAGGTTTGAAATCTCAAAGTGTCTCTACATGAGCTCTCAACCTTTGGATAATTCCATTTTACTTTATTTACACAGTACCTTTTACTTGATTTGGGGCTGGAAGGACTTCCCTTTCACAGCCTAATTATGAACTGGGTGGAGAACTTCTTCCTTAATGGACAATAGCCACTTTTTGGTTACACTTGATGTCCTATTTTTTTTCTGTCATGATTCAGGTAGGAGAGCCTATGCATCCTTTACACTATACATAATGAGCACAGCACACACAAATAGCACTTATTTTAAAGCCTCACAAGTCTCACTGTAAGGAAGAGCTTTCAGTAACATGTTAAGAATGAACACAGGTAAGCAGAATTTAGATATATCCAATTTAGGCATTTAAACTTCAGCTTGCCCACCTGCCAAGAACATAAAATAAGTTTAATTTATTTAACAGGTGATACTTTTTCCTCTACCATGTTGCTACTCTTTCCTTAGAGCCATTCTGAATTTCCTCCCTCCTAAATTTCTGGCATCACTTCTTTTTTCCCTTCATGTAGTACAAAAGTCCTCTAAAATTTCTCCAGAAATTTCTCACTTTAGTATGTAGACTTTTCAAACAGTGGCTGATTATTAGAGTGTTACTGTTCTTCGGGAACTAAATAATCTACCCAGACAGACCATTTCAGCACTCTTCCCCTCATGCAGTAATCACTCATGTTCCTAATCACTTTGTCCATTCTCCCGATAATAAACTGCCATTATTCAATCCACATGGGCAGACTCCTCTGTGAAAATCAGTCCCTACCTGGGTGCCCATGTGTAAGCCTTTGAAATGGCCACCGGTGAATGCTGGGCCACATTGTCCCATGGCAGCCTTCCAAACACCGCCAAACATCTGCCTTTGGGATTACCCTCCCTGCCCCTCCTCAGATATCTCACACTCCCACCAAGACCTCAATCTCCCCCTACCTCCCACTGTCCTATTTCCCACTTCCTTTGCTAGCTAGCACCTGCAACACCTCCAGCTTGGTATCATCAGTACATCTCACTAATAGACTTTCCTCTTGCTTCAGATCAGTAATGAAGAACTTTAAAGAGACATTAAGAAAAGATTTGTGGCCAAAGGTTCCATTAATTATGTTTGCTGTACCCCACTAGGCTTCCAATGCAGCTCATTCCCATTTATCACAAGCCTTTGTTTACAGCCTCTTTGCCAGTTTTCAACCCTCAAGTCAGTGTTTTCTCTCCCAGGTAATCCAATTTTTTTATTTTTTTTTTTAATTAATGGCAGGATGTCTTTCTTACAAAATGTTCTCTGCAAATAAGCACAGATTTATGTAGCAAGAAATATACATAAAGGTTTAACCACAGAGTGGAAATTAAAACAGCATCAATTTCCTACAGATAGAGTTTTATACTGATAAAAGCAGCAGACAGATTTATACTGATAAAAGGAGCAGACAGACAGCATCCCAGCTGGGACAGTCAGGGGAAATTCAACAGCCTGTGCTCTGCAAAGGTCAGGCAAGATGATCAAAAGCATCCCTTGTGCCTCTGCAAGGACAGAGAGGGTCCCTGGTCAGCCAGTTCTGATGCCACTCACACAGCTCCTCCCGGGGCAGCTCCTGCCAGTGAGGGGGTAAATCCATCTGTTACAACTGATAAATAAGAATAAAACAAGGCCTCGACTTTTTGTCAGTGAAGCTTTGCTCCTGACCACCCGTGTACAGCAGTTAACATGGCAGACATCTGCAGGAGTTAACTGGATGTCGTTTAAGATGCTCCCACTCAGGGATCAGCCTTGAAGTAGTGTTTGAGCACAGACTCATGGGACTCCTTATGAAGCAGGGAGGAAAGGGGGCTGCATAGCATGAGGACGGTGCTGCCCTCATGCAGCTGGCTGTACGCTTCATGGAAGGGGTGAGCTTGCCATGCACAACCTCCAGGCCACCTTCTTGCAGAAGAGATGTCCCCCTCCCCACTACAGTGCATGCCCACAGCCAGAACCGTATCTTGCTCCCAGCCCGCTCCTCTCTCGAAGAGAGTCAGAGAGATGGAGGCAGGCTGGGGGAGCTGTTCTGCTGACAGCCAATAGCCAAAAGGTTGTTCTTGGTTCCCACCTTTATCTCCCCATGATGGATCTGTTATATGCCTAGGTGTGCACTCAGTGCCCAGACAAGCTGCCCTTCTGCCTGCCACTCTCCTGCCATGTTGGGCACACAAGACGGTGCCTCAGTTCCTCCATCACACCTTTCAGCACCCTCTGTCCCTGGCTATTGCCCAGAGATAAAAATACACTCAGGAAGAGGGACAAGACTCCCTTCTAGAAGGACTTTGTATGGAGCCAGAGACCCTGAAATCTGCCTCCATAGCGTGTTCAAGAAATAGGTGGCATCACTAAAGTGACTTTGGCACAAGGGAAAATGTATGATGCAGATTGGGAGGGCGACTGTGAAAACTTCCTCAGATCTGGGGGGGGGGGGAAGTACCTACGCTGGCCAAAGGGCAAAAAGTAC